TTCCAGTTCCTGGAAACCTGGAGTTTACCTGGAGAGAGTTCCAGGGGTCAACGCCCCCGCGGCCCGGTCTGTGACCAGGCCTCCTGGTGGATCAGAGCCTGATCAACCAGGCTGTTACTGCTGGCTGCAAGCAAACCAACGTACAAGCCACAGCCCGGCTGGTCAGGAACCGACTTTAGGTGCTTGTCCAGTGCCAGCTTGAAGACTGCCAGGGGTCTGTTGGTAATCTCCCTTATGTATGCTGGGAGGCAGTTGAACAGTCTCGGGCCCCTGACACTTATTGTATGGTCTCTTAACGTGCTAGTGACACCCCTGCTTTTCATTGGGGGATGTTGCATCGTCTGCCAAGTCTTTTGCTTTCGTAGTGAGTGATTTTCGTGTGCAAGTTCGGTACTAGTCCCTCTAGGATTTTCCAGGTGTATATAATCATGTATCTCTCCCGCCTGCATTCCAGGGAATACAGGTTCAGGAACCTCAAGCGCTCCCAGTAATTGTGGTGTTTTATCTCCGTTATGCGCGCAGTGAAGGTTCTCTGTACATTTTCTAGGGCAGCAATTTCACCTGCCTTGAAAGGTGCTGTTAGTGTGCAGCAATATTCCAGCCTAGATAGAACAAGTAACCTGAAGAGTGTCACATGGGCTTGGCATCCCTAGTTTTGAAGGTTCTCATTATCCATCCTGTCATTTTTCTAGCAGATGCGATTGATACAATGTTATGGTCCTTGAAGGTGAGATCCTCCGACATGATCACTCCCAGGTCTTTGACGTTGGTGTTTCGCTCTATTTTGTGGCCAGAATTTGTTTTGTACTCTGATGAAGATTTAATTTCCTCTGTTTACCTATCTGAGTAATTGAAATTTCTCATCGTTGAACTTCATATTGTTTTCTGCAGCCCACTGAAAGATTTGGTTGATGTCCGCCTGGAGCCTTGCAGTGTCTGCAATGGAAGACAACTGTCATGCAGATTCGGGTGTCATCTGCAAAGGAAGACACGGTGCTGTGGCTGACATCCTTGTCTATGTCAGATATGAGGATGAGGAACAAGATGGGAGCGAGTGCTGTGCCTTGTGGAACAGAGCTTTTCACCGTAGCTGCCTCGGACTTTACTCTGTTGACTACTACTCTCTGTGTTCTGTTAGTGAGGAAATTATAGATCCATCGACCGACTTTTCCTGTTATTCCTTTAGCACGCTATTACGCCATGGTCACACTTGTCGAAGGCTTTTGCAAAGTCTGTATATATTACATCTGCATTCTTTTTGTCTTCTAGTGCATCTAGGACCTTGTCGTAGTGATCCAATAGTTGAGACAGACAGGAGCGACCTGTTCTAAACCCATGTTGCCCTGGGTTGTGTAATTGATGGGTTTCTAGATGGGTGGTGATCTTGCTTCTTAGGACCCTTTCAAAGATTTTTATGATATGGGATGTTAGTGCTATCGGTCTGTAGTACTTTGCTATTGCTTTACTGCTCCCTTTGTGGAGTGGGGCTATGTCTGTTGTTTTTAGTAGCTGTGGGACGACCCCCGTGTCCATGCTCCCTCTCCATAGGATGGTAAAAGCTCGTGATAAGGGCTTCTTGCAGTTCTTGATGAACACGGAGTTCCATGAGTCTGGCCCTGGGGCAGAGTGCATGGGCATGTCATTTATCGCCTGTTCGAAGTCATTTGGCGTCAGGATAACATCAGAGAGGCTTGTGTTAACCAAATTCTGTGGCTCTCATAAAAAATTCATTTTGATCTTCGACTCTCAGTCTGGTTAGCGGCTTGCTAAAAACTGAGTCATATTGGGACTTGAGTAGCTCACTCATTTCCTTTCTGTCATCTGTGTAGGACCCATCTTGTTTAAGTAGGGGCCCAATACTGGACGTTGTTCTCGACTTTGATTTGGCATAGGAGAAGAAATACTTTGGGTTTCTTTCGATTTCATTAATGGCTTTTAGTTCTTCCCGCGATTCCTGACTCCTATAAGATTCCTTTAGCTTAAGTTCGATGCTTGCTATTTCTCTGACCAGTGTCTCCCTACGTATTTCAGATATATTGACCTCTTTTAGCCGCTCTGTTATTCTTTTCCGTCGCCTGTAAAGGGAGCGCCTGTCTCTTTCTATTTTACATCTACTCCTCCATACATCGAGTGCCACCGAGTTAATCTGTTCTAGGCATAAGTTGGGGTCTGTGTTGCTTAGTATATCTTCCAGCTTATATCGGTTAGGACTTGGTTTACTTGGTCCCACTTTATGTTTTTGTTATTGAAGTTGAATTTGGTGAATGCTCCCTCGTGACTAATCTCATTATGTCGGTCTGGGGCTCCGTGCATACATGTCTGAACCTCATTTATGTTGTGATCTGAGTATATTGTTTTTGATATGGTGACATTTCGTATCAGATCATCATTGTTAGTGAAGATGAGGTCTAGTGTATTCTCCATTCTAGTAGGCTCTATTATTTGCTGGTTTAAATTGAATTATGTGCAAAGATTTAAAAGCTCGTGTGAGTGAGTTTTCATCAGAGCTGCCTCCTGGTGTTATTTCTGCAACAATATTATTTGCATATTCCTCCATTTTAGGTGCCTTAAGTTGAAATCCCCCAGGAGCAAGATGTTGGGTGCAGGAGCCGGCAGATTTTCCAGACAGTGGCCAATTTTTAACAGCTGTTCCTGGAATGGCTGGGATGTTGCATCCGGAGGCTTGTAGATTATCACAATGACTATGTTTTGGTTCTCAATCTTTACTGCTAAAACTTCCACTACATCATTTGAGGCATTAAGCAGTTCTGTGCAAACAAGTGACTCTGCAATGTACAGGCCAATCCCCCCCTTTTGCCTGTTCACTCTGTCGCATCTGTATAGGTTGTAACCTGGGATCCATATTTCGTTGTCCAAGCGATCCTTTATGTGGGTCTCAGTGAAAGCCGCGAACATTGCCTTTGTCACTGCAAGCAGTCCACGGATGAAAGGTATTTTGTTGTTTGTTGCTGGCTTTAGACCCTGTATACTTGCAAAGAAGAATATCATCGGACTGGTGGTATTGTTGGTACTGGGAGGGGGGGGGATTTTTTCCGGCATGCTACTATTTAATAAGATCACAGTAAACAGGTGATATTACAATATCAAAAATAACCACTGTGAAAAAATATTGAATTTCCAAATGCTTTCGTGATTTCTCACAGATCCTTGATAGTGTGAGAAATCACGAATGCTCTTGGATATTCATTTTTTTTCACAGTGGTTATTTTGCCTATGTTACTATGTATGATAATTGTACTTAAGTGCACCTGTTCCTAAATAAACGTACTTATTTACATACACTCACAAATTTCCACTGGGTAGACATCTCTGATCACATTCAGTTAATTAACCGTTCCATTGCTTACCAATGTGATTTAGGGATAGGGTGATAGGGTGGATTTAGGGATAGAGAGGTATGGGTGATTAGAAGATAGGGATTATGCGAGAGATTAAGGTCAAGGGACAAGGCTTGATACGATCAAAGGCTCAGGGTCAATAAGGAATAGGGATGACTAAGCTGTGACTAGCCACCTCACGCCCAACGATCTGTATTGAACGGTTTCATGTAATGTGCTTTGTGTGGGACAATTTTTTTTAGTAGTGAGGAGTATAGAGTGAGGGAGGGGTGAGCAAAGGCTTTGAGTGAGGGACAGGTGAGCAAAGGCTAAGAGTGAGGGAGGGGTGAGGACGAGCTTCGGGAGGCAGGAGAGGGGGAGGCGACTTAAGGATTTAGAGGGAAGGGTTGACTAAAGATTTAAAGTGAGAGGGGTGAGTAGAAGCTTAGGAAGGAAGGATCGAGTAAGAACGTAGGAAGGGAGGGGTGACTAAGACCAAAAGTTGGGAGGGGTGACCATAGGATGGGATGGGTGACATCAGGGTGGATGGGTGACCATAGGGTAAAAGGGGTGACCCAAGGGTAGAGGTGAGCATAGGGTAGGAGGGGTATACCTGGAGAAGGTTTCGGGGATCAACGCCCCCGCGGCCTGGTCTGTGACCTAGAGTAGGAAGGGTGACCATAGGGTGGAAGCGGTGACCCTAGGGTAGAAGTGGGTAATCATAGGGTAGGAGTGGTGACCAGATGGGGGGTGACCATAAGGTTGGAAGGGGGTGGCCATAGAGTACAAGTTGGTGACCATACGGGTCTTGGGGTGACCATAGTGTAGGAGTGGGTGACCATAGGGTAGGAGTGGGTGATTATAGGGTTCTTGGGAGTGACCATAGGGTAGGAGTGAGTGACCATAGGCTTCTTGGGGGTGACCATAGGGTAGGAGTGGGTGATCATAGGCTTCTTGGGGGTGACGTTAGGGTAGGAGTGGGTGACCATAGGCTTCTTGGGGGGACCATATGGTAGGAGTGGGTGACCATAGGTTTCTTGGGGGTGACCATAGGGTAGGAGTGGGTGACCGTAGGGTAGGAGTGGGTGACCATAGGGTAGGAGTGGGTGACCATAGGGTAGGAGTGGGTGACCATAGGCTTCTTTGGGGCGACCATAGGCTTCTTGGGGATGACCATAGGGTAGGAGTGGGTGACCATAGGCTTGTTGGGGTCACCATAAGGTAGGAGTGGGTGACCATAGGCTTGTTGGGGGTGACCATAGGGTAGAAGTGGGTGACCATAGGCTTCTTGGGGTGACCATAGGTTTTTTGGGGGTAACCATAGGGTAGGAGTGGGTGACCATTGAGTGGGAGGGGGCGACCGTAGCGTAGGAGGGGGTGACCATTGGGTGGAAGGGGTGACCCTGGGGTGGGAGGGGGTGACCATAAGTTGGGAGGGGGTGACCATAGGGAGGGAGGGGTGACTTAGCCAGCTCAGCACTACCAGTCACAGCAGCAGTCACCACAAGCTGACCAGCACCCAGACACACACTCCTCCACCAGACTCCAGTCAGGTACAGGGCCACGTAACACCCAGTTAACATGTATGTCATGCATTTCACCCACTACATAGTCCCCCCTCCATGTGGTAACCGATCAGTGGTAAGCTGGGTACTGGTGGGCCTCAGCTCCACCCACAGGGCATTGCCCAGGAATGCCAATAATTTGAATACTGTACTGCCATTATTTTGGACTCGTTCTCCGGGGAGACGTTGTGTATCATGGTGTATTTGTTGTATAATCATTGTTAATGTGTGGGTTTTTATCATGGTGTATTTGTTGTATAATTGTTAATGTGTGGGTTTTTATCATGGTGTATTTGTTTTTAATTGGTTTTTATCTTGGTGTATTTGTTGTATAATCTATAATCATTGCTGTTGTGTGATTTTTATGGTGTATTTCTCGGTGTATTTGTTGTATAATCATTGTTAATGTGTGTGGTTTTGTCATGGTGTATTTGTTGGTGATAAGGTTTTATCAGTAACAAGGGCACATAGGTATGTTATTGCAGGAATTCATGTGTATTTTTATTAATTTGTTTTGTAGATTTAAACTATTGATTCCTTCCCTTCTGGGGGGGTACCTTGATGAAGGGCTCTTGATCCAGGAAATTGGATGTATCTATTGGATTAAACATGATTCCCTCCCATTCACCAGGTGCTATGACCCCTACAGGTTTAGCTCTTTCCCCTCGAATTTATGTACATAACCTAGGTATGTCAGAGCACAGTGCCACAGCATTAGGTTCACAACAGAAAGAACCCAGGTTCAGTCCTGGGGGAGGGGGGGGAGATATGTAATGGCATGTTTCCTAACTTGCTGCTCCTGTTACCTAGCAGTTTATAAGTAAGTTTATTATGGCACAGGTACACATAAGTACAATTATCATACATAGTGTAAATTAGATACTTAAGATAACCCAAAAAAAAGTCAGTGACTTAATTCCATTGAGGTTGAGTATTGTGAGTCATGTCATAGGGACCCCAGTGAAAATACCTCCCACTGCTTAGTTTAACTTGGATTATTAGCCTTCCATGTCACCCTTCCCCTTATCCCCCCCCCCAGGGTTAATAATCATGTAAGAAAACTGAACAAAGTCAAACATTACATTCCTTTCCACTTGAGCTTCATTTTCTCAGCAGTTACTCAGCTTGAATAATCAATCAGATTAATCCTGACTATAAATTACTTGTTTATACCACAGTATTTAACAGCAGATGGGTCATAGTCATGTCATGGTTTCTTTTGAGCATTTACTACCAAGAAGCTATTAGGAATCACAATGTATATAAGTCCTTTTGAGGAATTGTGGAAATATTCTAGGTTAAGCCATCATAAAATATTACTATTGTTTATTTATGACTATATATAACATTGCAGTTTTACAGTTCTTAAAACAGTTTAATTATACTAATAACTGTACATAAATTAAATTGAATAAAAACTAAGATAGATTTTATCATAAAATCGAATGTCATCAAACTTCTAGAGCCACTCTAGATAGTAAGTAAAGACTTAAAGGTTTTACTAACTTCCTGCATAAAATGGGTATTTTGTTATTAATTCTCGACTCAAAAAGTGAATTAGGCTGATTTATTAATTTTATTGAAATTTTAATTTTTTTTTTTTTTTTTTTCATATTTTTTGTGTGCATTTTAGCACAGCAAAACCTTGAAATAACAGGCTTTGGAAACATGGAACAGAATCTGCTGGGTAAGTTGATTTGGAAATAACAAAAGTTTGTTAGGTACAGAATTGTCCATCGTTGTTATGATCATAGCTAAACAGTCTCATCTCTACCCTCCATAGTTGCCATTATCAGCCTCCCTCTTCCCCCCTCTTAGTCTGTTAAATCGTAGATTTACTTCAGTTGGTAATAGCTTATTGTGTCAAAACTTTATACTTGAATGCCTTGGTCATTAATAGAATTTTTTTTATTTCTAGTTAATATTTTTTGAGAATTTGTTCCCATTAAAAAAAATACTGTATATGTGATTGTTAATAAACAAAGCTCCTGATTTATAAAGGATTATTATTAAAATGAATTTGCAAATGGTGAGATTTATCTTGGACCTGGGTCCAAGAGAGCTTGTAGGCCAGGATGAATTACAACTGGATATGCTCTGTATCATCTACATCAATGACCTACCGAATGCATCACAGCTACTCAAACCCATATTATTTGCAGATGACACTACATATGTCTTCTCACACCCAAACCCAGCCATACTCGCCAACACTATCAATGCTGAATTGCAGAAAATATCTACTTGGATGATGACGAATAAACTTACCCTAAATACTGACAAAACCTATTTTATTCAGTTTGGAACCAGAGCTGCAAATGTTCCACTTAACATAACAATAAATGGATCACCCATCACAAGACTCACAGAGGGAATATTCTTAGGAATCTACCTAGACAGTAGCCTCAAATTCCAGACACACCACACAACAAATTTCCAAGAAAATCTCTAAGACAGTGGGCTTACTGTCAAAGATACGGTACTATGTTTCACAATCAGCTCTCCTTGTACTGTATCATTCACTCATCTACCCTTATCTCACATGGGAATTTGTGCATGGGGATCAACAACATCAAATCACCTAAGGCCTCTAATAACCCAGCAAAAGGCTGCAATCAGAATAATAACAAATTCCCTTTTGCAACACCTCTATTCAAAAGTCCAAATTTGTTTGCCATAAAGAATATCCAAGACACAGATCTCTTTTTGATGTACCCTGTGTCCATATCACACTGTGTAAAAACTCTATGCACATAAAGAGCCCCAAAATTTGGAATTCATTACCAGAACATATTACAGTAACCAGGCCTGAAAATCAATATAAGACTCTTCTAAAAAACCACTTACTCGCCCAGGACTAAATAATCAATACTCAATATTTAACATTACCAATAATTCTCCCAATTACTTAAATCTTAAAACTTCAAGACAACATACAGCAAATTGATCATCTTGTTTGTTATACATTGTAGTGCGACAAATTTGTACAACTGTAATGCTTCATTATCGAAATGTTCAAGTTTCATTGTTGCAAATACTCAATTGTACTTTAATAATGTTGGTAGAATTACCAATAATATGTAAAGTAAAAGGAAACAAGTGCAGCTAATGTGACATTTTTATTGTGGCAACATTTCGCTCTCCAGGAGCTTGGTCAAGCCGTTACTATGCAAAATTAAGAAGTATTTTTGGGCCACAGTAAATCATGGAGCTTGACAAAGCTCCTGGAGAGCAAAACATTGCCACAATGAAAATGTCACATTAGTTGCACTTGTCCTTCTACTTCAATTATACGTCTTATTGTAAATTGCTTACAGTAATTTTTACCACTGAACCTTCATTGCTTGTTAATTTTAAGTTAATTTTAAGCCTGCCCATAATGCTCTGCATACAAGGGGCTTTTGGCGTGTACACCCAACTGCTATAATAACTTGTACAACTGTGTATCATGTCCAAATAAATTATATGAATATGAGTGATGAAGACAGCAGAACAACTGTAATTAAATCACGTTTATAAAATTGCTCACAAGCAAAGTCTAGGGTATCTTGCTGCCTGTTTTATCAAGACTGGGAACCAAAACAAGTATAGTACTAGGGAAAGGGAACACACTTGTTGTGCCCACATTAGGTGGTCAGGCTTCAAACACCTATAATACAGCAGTAAAGGAGTGTAATGGACTGCCTGCACATGCCAGAGCTTGTCATTTATGAACCAGTTCAGGAAGAGAGCTAAAAGGTACTTAATGAATGAAGCTATGGAAAGGAAGGAGAATGATTTCTGTATAGTTAAATTATCTACAACTGTAACAGTCATGTACCTATTACTGTGATCTGATCTTCTCTTTAATGTTATTATAAATAACTCAGTTTACCTTATCCCTAGTATATCTCCCTGTACAGTGGACTAACGATACATTTTAACGCAAAAATTTTGCCTCGACTAGCGCTAAAAAACTCGACCAACACGATTCGTTCCGTCTGAGACGCGTCCACTTGTGGCCAGTGTTTACAAGCCAGCCAGCCACCGCGGTCCCATCCAAACATACAATCGGAACATTTCATATTATCACAGCGTTTTTAGTGATTGCACCTGCAAAATAAGTCACCATGGGCCCCAAGAAAGCTTCTAGTGCCAACCCTACAGCAAAAAGGGTGAGAATTACTGTGGATGTGAAGAAAGAGATCATTGCTAAGTATGAAAGTGGAGTGTGTGTCTCCGAGCTGGCCAGGTTGTACACAAAACCCCAATCAACCATCGCCATCAACCATTGTGGCCAAGAAAACGGCAATCAAGGAAGCTGTTCTTGCCAAAGGTGCAACTATGTTTTCGAAACTGAGATCGCAAGTGATAGAAGATGTTGAGAGACTGTTATTGGTGTGGATAAACGAAAAACAGATAGCAGGAGATAGCATCTCTCAAGCGATCATGTGTGAAAAGGCTAGGAAGTTGCATGAGGATTTAATTAGAAAAATGCCTGCAACTAGTGGTGATGTGAGTGAATTTAAGCCAGCAAAGGTTGGTTTGAGAGATTTAAGAATTGTAGTGGCATACATAGTGTGATAAGGCATGGTGAGGCTGCCAGTTTGGACCAAAAAGCAGCTGAAAAATATGTGCAGGAATTCAAGGAGTACATAGACAGTGAAGAATTGAAACCTGAGCAAGTGTTTAATTGTGACACTGACAATGTTGTGAAACACTTTAGGAATGTCATAAAGGAACGGAGGTACAGGCCTCTATGGACAGATATGTTGTGCGACAGAGGTCCAGTGACTCTCAAGCTGGTCCTAGTGGCATTAAAAGAAGGTAAGTAACCCCAGAAAAGGACTTGACACCTCAAGTCCTAATGGAAGGGGATTCCCCTTCTAAACACTAACACCATCCACAGTCTCCCCTCCTCCCATCCCATCAGTCATCACCAGATCTTCAATAAAGGTAAGTGTCATGTAATTGTGCATGTCTTCTTCAGTTTGTGTGTATTAAAATTAATATTTCATGTGGTAAAAAAAAAAATTTTCAATACTTTTGGGTGTCTTGCACGGATTAATTTGATTTCCATTATTTCTTATGGGGAAAATTAACTCGACTAATGATAATTTCGATTAACGATGAGCTCTCAGGAACGGATTAATACCGTTGGTCGAGGGTCCACTGTATTATATCTGTTTTTCACATGGTCGAGTTATTTAGCATTTTTTAACTGTTAAGGTTTAAATAATAAGATATTAAAAGGACCCCAATAGTAATAAGTCACTTTTTGACTTTTTTTTTTTTGTTATCCTAGGTAATCTACACACATGCTGCTATGTATGATAATTTATGTAACTATTTTTGTGTACCTGTACCTGAATAAACTTAATTCTGTACTGCTTTATACAGTATAGGCCCCATTTTGTGATGCTATATTATTCATATCTACGAATGAAGAATATTGGTTTAATGAATTTTCTACTTTCAGCATCTTGAGTGCCATGAGTGAAGGTATAACTGCACTGGTGCTAGGGGGTTCAGGGGAGATAGGCAAACAACTGGTCCGAGAGCTCATCAACAATGCTGCTTTCTCCCGTGTCATTTAGTTGCCAGACGCCAATTAAACATCGAGAGTGAAAAGGCAGAGCAAAAAATTGTTGATTTTGAGAAGTTAGATGACTACAAAGAAGCATTTGAAGGTGCACAGGTTAGCAATGATGCACTTAGTTATTTGATAGCACAGTACAGTGCTGTACGTGTATAATAAATTGTGGACCGTCCTTAATGATACTAGTTTAGCACCTTTTTGGCCAATATTATTAATTACCCTTCAAGATAGTAATGGGTTGCCTTGATTCTACTGGAGGACTCTTGGGTTAACCTAATTACAATACTTCCCATTCTACACCTACTTTATAATTCTAATGGGCCTAGCACTTTCCATGAATAAATTACAGTAATATTAGTCATAAATTGGTAATTTCAATCCTTAACTTTTTTGATGCTGTTCATTCATATATAATTTTTCATGAAACTGGTCTTATTATGAGATTTTGCACGTTAAATATATTATTAAATTGAAAACAGCAGCTGCAGCCAAATTTGCATATACAGTAGAGCCTCTGTATCCACTGATTCTGTATCTGCAGTTTCATTTATCCATGGTTTACTGTGGCCCAAAAATACTTCTTAATTTTGCATAGTGGCCCCAAAGCCAAAAGTAGAGAAGTTGGCAGTTCTTCAAAGCCTAAAAGATGCCATGAAGTGCTTCCCATCAGTGAAAAAGTGATAATTCTCCACTTATTGTGCATAATTTATCAATTAAACTTTATAATAGGTATGTCTAGGAGTTGTATTTAGGGTTTTCTACTATCTGCAGTTTTGGTATCTGCAGCAGGTCCTTGTAATTTGTTCCCTGCAGATACAGGCATTCTACTGTATTATGCTGTGTAGTTACAAAGGTTACTTTGCTCTCTAAATTATTGTGCATTATAAAAACCACCTTTTATATAAATTATCAAATAAATTTCCAAGTGTCAAATTGCCTCTGATCTTTTAGGTTGCATACTGCTGTCTGGGAACTACAAGGGCAAAGGCTGGTGCTAAGGGGTTTGTTCAGGTTGACCGAGACTATGTGAGTCATGCGGCCCGGCTCTTGAGGGAAGCAGGTTGCTCACACTTTCACCTGGTAACTGCCGCCAATGCTAATAAGAATTCATTTTTTCTCTACAGTAAGACCAAAGGTAATTACACTAATTGTGTGTATTATACCAAGGGATATGCAAAGGTATCAGTGACGGTGGGTATCGTCTAATTTTGATGGTATCGATATAGGCCTAAAATATAGTATTGGTATCGGAGAATTTTTGGTATCGTCCCATCCCTAATTATGTCAAATCAAAAAATATGCACAGCTTGGTATTACTAAGAATAAAAAGATCTCTCCATAAGGAAGTGGAACAGAATTCTTCCTCTGTAAGCCATGCATGTCATAAGAGGCGACTAAAATGCCGGGAGCAAAGAGCTGGTAACCCCTTCTCCTGTATAAATTACGTACTAAATTTAAAAAGAGAAACTTTCGTTTTTCTTTTTGGGCCACCCTGCCTCAGTGGGATACGGTCGGTTTATTGAAAGAAAGAAGAAAAAAATGTTTATCAAATATAGCAATTATGTATATAGATAATGTTGAACCCAAGAGGCTTTTTATGCTAATACTGTACTCATTTGAACATACCTTAAGTTTGTTTTATATATTTATTTATTTATTTTTTTTTTAGGACATGATACATAGTTGTACAAAGAAATATAGTGATTGGGTGTACATGCCAAAAGCCCCCCCTTGTATGCAGAGCATTATGGGCAGGCTTAAAATTAACTTAAGATTAACTAAGCAATGATATACGTGTATTCAGTGTTAAAAATTACAGTAAGCAAATTACAACATGAAGTACAAATGAGTATTTCAAATAAGAAGCTTTAAAGTTGTATAAATTTGTAGCATAACAATGTATAATATAATCAAATCAGATCGAGTAAAATCAATGATTTGTAGTGCAGAAACAGGTCATATGGTCATTAGATGAATTACTGTGCATTCTAGAGAGTGGAGTATTCTATTAGGTAATGTAAATAAAAACAGTTTGATAGGGTCACAGGTTATACATTTATGAGATTCAGTTATTCAGTATTTATTTAGTTGTGGTTGAGTATGTGGTTTTTAAGAAGTCTTGAATTGATAAACAGACAGTATTTCTTTTATATTCACAGGTAATGCATTCAAGATTTTTGGGCCTTTTATGTGAATTGAGTTTTTACATAGTGCGAGATGGACACAGGGAACATCAAAGAGTGATCTGTGCCTTGTGTTATGGTCATGTGTAGCTACAACTGCTATGATCATGGAAAAGCATTAAACACATAGGGATCATGCAACACATACAGAATGGGAGATAATCAAATTTAAACCAAAGAAGCAGAGGGTAGTTCCAGTTCCTTTGATCAAGAGCTTTTCACCAGCATCATAGCACCCCAATGTTAGGGTAGCTACAAATAGGTACCAGTAATCATAAATACTGGTAGTTAATCATACCCTTTACTCTGCCTGACTGTTAAAAGGTTGGTGCCTTAGAGAATGGTGCATTGCATAAGAGATGGGAATACCACAGTTGGAAGGCCATAGAATAACAAAAATGTAATTGTAGCAGCATGAATTAACTAGCATAGCTATACTGAGTTTAATTAATGAAAACCTTAATGGATATGATGCTTAGTAGTTGTACTTGCCTATTCAAGTCACTTGAACATTACACTTTTTCTCTTTTGGTTTGATAGGTGGGTGTTCAGTGACACATTGGCTTCAGTATAAACAAAATAACAACACTTCTTTATAATTCATTTATTGATTATTGTCTCCACTTTTCAGGAGAGGTGGAGGAACTGGTTCAGAAGTTAAATTTCCCCCGACTTTCCATTTACCGGCCTTCACTATTACTCTGTGACCGCGAAGAATCCAGACCATTGGAGAAAGTTGCACAGGTGACTTGTCTTTGAAACTGTTAAATAAAACTTCTTTAAATGGAGTTAATAAAAAACATTAACCTTTAAGACAAGTATCAGCAATATGGCATTTTGATGTTGAGATATGATTTTGCTCTTCTAATCAAGTATGCAAGACAAAAATTCTTTATGCAGTATTTTATTACAACAATAAATGGTATTATTAGAAGGTATTATAGTGTACTAATTTTGTACTATATGTTTTAACTGCCTTTTTGGGTTGATCTAGTAACTTGCCTAGTAGTGTAGAGGAAGGCGAGATATACGGCCATTGACTAGCTTCGTCTTTATTGGAATAATGGAGTTCACAGTGGGCAGTGTGAGGTGTGCGGAAACCAATCCAGGATGGGAACTTATTAACTGAAAGGCCGCAGGTCTAGGAGCGAGAGCGAGGCATTTTTGGATATGTATAACTTGAGGCAGTGCCCTCTGGTGGGCATTCAGGGGAACTAGGCCCACAACAAACTCACTCCAAGGGAAGCCTATGAGAAGTAGCAGTAGGCTTACTGTCTATATTTTGTCTACATATACCGATTTTGACAGCATTGTATGTACTGTACTGATTTTGAAAGTATTTCTGATGCATTATTAATACAATAAACCCACTCATAACATGCAAGATACAGTGGACCCCCGGTTAACGATATTTTTTCACTCCAGAAGTATGTTCAGGTGCCAGTACTGACCGAATTTGTTCCCATAAGAAATATTGTGAAGTAGATTAGTCCATTTCAGACCCCCAAACATACACATACAAACGCACTTACATAAATACACTTACATAATTGGTCACATTCGGAGGTAATCGTTATGTGGGGGTCCACTGTATATTTCTGAAAAGTAGTGTAGTAAGATTTTTCCACACTAATCAATTTTTTATTTGTACTTTTTAAGTTGTTACAACAAAATAGTGCAATGTGCAATCATGTTGTAAAAATTCACTGTTCAGTATTTCAGCCTGTTGAAATGCTATTAATACATCAGCATTCAGTACATCTGTTTGATATTTACACTTACAGAATATTCATAATACTCTTCTACCATACAGGACTACAAAAAAAATTGTATACATTCTTCTCACAGATATTATATACATTCTTATCACAGATATTCTGTAATATTAATACTCCTGGGAGCAAGGGGTTAATAACCCATTCTCCTGTATAACTTATCAAATTTAAAAAGAAAAATTTTTGGGTTTTTTTTTTTAAAAGGGCCCTGCCTCAGGGGGAAATTTGGCCCGGGGTTTTTAAAAAAAAAAATAATTCTCATAAGTGTTTAAACTTGAGTTTTCATTCAGCTCAATACAAGGGGAAAGAAGCCCCAATTTATAGTAGTCCCTGGTAGCTTTTTGTTATCTGACGCTGGGGTTTTTTTTTAAAAATATTTAGATAATTCTTTTCATTGAGGGGGTTTAAAGCAGTTTAAATGCCGGGCCCGGGGAAACCCAGACCTCTTCTTTTTTTTTTTTTTTTCCCCCCCAAAATTAGCGGAAGGGTTTTCCTTTTTAAAATAAAAATTTTGCTGGAAATTTTAGTTTGTGATTTTCCGGTCAGCCACATAATCTTCAATCATTTTACCCGGGTTTCCATCCCAAATTCCGGCACTAATTTCGGTTGGGCATAATTCGATTTATCTTTATACTGACTGGGAAAATTTTTGCAATGGTTGTAAATCCACAGCAGAAACCCCCGGGGGAGGAGAAAGAAAGTGAAAAAAAATTAAAAGATAAAGTAGCGAAAGTCCTCTTTTGGGAATGGGTTAAAATTTAAAGTATTCTAACATAACTACTCTGAACCCGGCAAACTCTTTTAATCCGGAAACACAAACAGGTTCCAATGGGGCCGATTAGTGATGGCTGACCTGAAAAATAAAATTTGGATGTTTTGGACTCCCAAGAAATGGACTTGAATTTTTTTGTTTATTTTGGGCTTATAAATGTATGTCAGAACATTAATCATAAATGCAGAAGCTTGGCCACTGCTGCAAAAGGACTTCACTCCCAAATTTGCTGTATTAATAAAAAGCATTTCCTCCCCAGTGGTCCCACCTGCAGTGTAGACACTGATTTCTTATCTGCCCCCATTTTGTACAATGACTGTGACCTATCTCCCCCTTTCCCTTTACTGTTTCCCCTTTTTGCCATAAACTTCCTGGGCCTCTCCACCCCCCCCCTTTTCCATTTCATATCTTTCACTGCTGTGCAGTGTTGTGTGATTCTTACAGGTTTGGGAGTTTACATGTTAAATAAAACATTTTCCTCACTGATTTTAATTTTAATAAACCCTTTAAAATTTTTAAAAAAATGTTTTGGCTTTAGCCTTTTCCATCTCTTCATGTACTTTTTTCTTTTCCCCCTGTAAAATATTTTATTATTTTAACTCACAAATTCCTTTTGTGTAACGAAGGGGGAAGAGGTATAAAAGGTTGTGAATGTCCTGTGAACTTTTTTTTTTCTTTTTTTTTTTTTTACCCCTTCTTTCATTTCATTTTTAACGTGTTTTTTTTCCTGTGTATTAAATGACCAGATTGTTATTCTCGTTGGTATTTGGGTTTTGGGTAGACAGAAACCCCCCGGGGGAAGTACACCGCCTGCCAGATAAACTGTGAAAAAAAACCTGTATTGTTTTGCATGAGGGTGGGGTTTGCGGGTTTTTCTTTTTCTGCTAATAAAACGTTTAAGAAAAACGGGGGAAATCTTGCTACCCCTACAAACACTTTGGGGGGTTTCCCCCCCCTTCACAGCCCAGCACTTTGCATATATATAATACATACATCGGGTTTTTTTCCCCTTTTTTCTAAATAGCTCTTTTTTCTTTTTTTTTTCTTCTTTTGGGTCCAGGGGGAAGTGGAAAAGAATTTTCCCCCCGAAAGCCATGCGTGCCCGTATGAGGGGGACAAAAATTCCGGGAGAAATTTGGGCTAGAACCCCTTCTCCTGTATACAATTTTTAAAAAAAGAAGAAGAAAAACTTATAAAAATTGGGTTTGCTTAAATGGCGTGGAGTAGTGGGGTTTTGGGACAAGAAAAAGATTTTGTGATGTTTGAATGAAAAAAAGTTGGTTTGTCCGGGCCCCCTAAGCAAACAAAGCTAAAGGGGGTAGGAAGTTTCAGGGGGGGGAAAAAAAATTGGGATTAAATCTGGAGTATCTGAGAGATTTAGACCCAAAGGGGGGGAAAGCAGTAATGTTAAATGTTCGTTATGGAAGGAGAAAAAGAGAATATGAATGTTAAATTAAAGTTTTTATGGGGATTAAAAGTAAAGGTTGGATGGGGAAAAAGGTGGGTCATAATAAGCGTGAATGCACCTGGAGAAGAAGGAATGAGAGGGGAGAGAGAGTTTTTGGGAGATTTTAAGTGAATGTATAGGAGCCTTTAAACCCCAAGGAGAGAGAAATTTGGGGTAGGGGACTTTTTTCTAAAGAGGAGAAACTTTTAGAGGGGGTTTGTGGTGGGTAAGTTGGGGTGCCAGGTGTAAATGTTTAAGGGGAAGCCCTTTGTTTGAACTTTGTATAGAAAGGGGGTTTTAGTTATGGGTAATACATTTTTTAAAAAAAAGAGGATAAATAAGTTACACGATTTTATGTAGGGCGAAATGCAGTAGTTTTGTTGGATTAGTTTGGTAGATAAAAGACTGTTGAGTAGATTTCCCAGGTGTACATGTTTTATAGAGGGGCCACGGGATTTATCAATCACTTTCAAGTTTTTTATTTACACTAGAGTAAAAGGAGTTGGGGATAAAAGGGAGAATGGGAACTTCGGGGAAGAGAGAGGTGAAGGTTTATAAACTAAAAAAGGAGGCAGTTGGGTTAAAAAAATAACAGCTATTGGAATAGATGGGCTAATGAGAGCATAGGCAATGGGGCGAAGAGGTAGGGGGTTTGGGTTTAAAAATGTAGTGTTTAGAGTTTTCCCGCAGAAGTTTGTGGTTACAGGAAAGGGGGTGCAGGGGGGAAGAGGGGGAAATTGGTGGAAGGGATGATGTAAAGAAGAAAGAAGGGAGAAAAAAGTTAGCATATGAAAGGGTTTTTAAACAAAGTAGAATTTGATGCAAGGGGGGAAGAGTATATGGGAAAAAAGAGGGGGTAAGGGGAGGGGTTGGAAAGAAAAAAGAGAGAAAAATGAGAGAGTGGGTGAGTGTTATAAACAAATTTTGTTTGAAAATAAGAAAAAAGTTTTGGAGTGAGATTAAAAAGGTTTGAAAGCTAGAGAACAAATGGTTTTGTCGGGTTAAAAAGGAGAGGGGGGGGGGGGGGATTTTTTTTTTTAAAATGGGGGAGTTAGGGGTATTGGAAATGGAAGGAAAAATTTTGGGGGAATTTTTAAAATTTTTATAAAGATAGGGAACTGTGATTTCGTGTATAGGGCAAGGAGGAATAACATCTTGTGGAGTGGGAAAAGAGCCGGTTGTGAGTGGGGGGGAAGTTCTTTAAAGGCGTGGGAAAAATTTAAAAAGGGGGTGGGGGCACCCGGGATTGATGGGATAAGTTTAAAAATTTAAAACAGGGGGGGAAATTTTTTTTTTTTGGAGTGGTTGGTGCAATTTTTTAAAATAAATGAAGGGAAAAGGGGGTAAGGTCCCTAGGATTGGCAGAGAGCATGCATTTTCCCTTTTTAAAAAGGAAAAGGGGGAAAAAGAGATTTGCAAAAATTATGGGGGGAAAAATCTTTTGGGTTTTGTACCTGGTAAAGTTTTTAGGGTTAGAGTTAAAATTGGAAAAAAATTTAAGGTAAGACGGAGAATAGGATAGCAGATGAACAAGGGGGTTTTGGGAAAAGGTAGGGGGGGGGTTGGGGCCCAGGGGGTTTTTACAGTGAAACATATAAGTGAACATATTTAGAAAAGGGCCCTAAAGGGGTTTTTGGGTGGCTTTTATGGTTTGGGAAAAAAGGGTTTTACCAGGGGGTAGGGGGGCAATGTGGCAGATGTTGAAAGTGTTGGTGTAGGAGGTGGGGTTACTAAAAGCGTGAAGAGTTTTTTGGGAGGTTTGTGAGGCCAATTTAAGAGAATGTGGGAAAAAAAGGGAAAATTTTTTTTCCCAGTAAAAGTACCCTTAAAAAGGGATG